TAAATCAGAGCACACTGAGTGGCAGTGCATAGCAACCCTCAGCAGTCGTTTCGTGGCAAATGACCGAGGTTCTGACCCCTGCTGGAGCTGGCAGGTGGGACCCTCGCTGGCTGCAGAGACACAGTGTGTCAATGACCAGCACACCCTCATGAAAATGGCACCCTACATTCCTTTGTCCAGTTTGCAAAATCAAATCACCTTTGTAGCCAAAAGCAGGGACATATTACCAGAATACTGCTTTGGAGGGGATGCATCCTAAGTAAACTGAAATAATGCTACAAATAAACCTGTGTTGTTTTTTTTTTTTTTAATTCCTCCATGTCATGCACCGATCCTCATGAGTAAGCACCACGTATCTTGGATGCCACACATGAAAGTGGAAGCATGCACTTTTCCCCTCAGAACAGTCTCACTAGAGCTGCCCAGGGGCAGTACTGCAAAGGATAGACAAAACCTCGAGCTTCCCCTTGGGTGCCTGCACAGCAGTCCCTGGCTCAGAGCTACCTGAGAAGCCAGAGCAGAACCTGAGGGGAAGGTCTTACCACTCTCCTCCCCCACCCAGCTGCCACCCCTTTCCCTCCTGTGGTATAGAGATAAGGGCAGCCCCCTCTTTCCTGCTCCCCCCTCCCCGGAGCTCCCCCTGGGTAAGACTGCAGCACACAGAAGACAAGCAGCAGCCAAGCAGATGATGAGACGAACCCACCTGCATCTGCAAGGAGTGCTGTGCACAACAGCTGCTTCACCCACCCCCGTCCTCTATCCTACAGCCTGACACAGAAGAGCTGCTGGTGGATGCCTGCTGCTGCTGCTGGGAGAATAGAAAAAAATGTGGTTGCCTTTTTCCACCTGAGCAGGCACCAGACAGACGTCAGCTGTTCTAAGCTCACCGTGCTATGTGGTTGACCTGTTCAGCGCACATTTCAACACACTGCAGGGCATTCGGCATCGCACTGAGTTCGGTCCGTCACTCACAGCTGGAAAAGTGACCCTGCTCCTACAAATACTAAAAAGTGAAGCTCTCATCTCACAATAAAGTCACTCTCAGAACACTCAAATCTAAAAATGAAAGTTTATTAACATCTCAGAAACAGGAAAATGTGTACTCAAGACCTTTGAGTTTCATAGGCAACAGTGTTCCTTCCACGTGTAGCTCCCACTTCTGCCTGGCACCCCGGGATAACTGGAGATGTTCCCCAGCCAGAGCTTCTTCAATGTTTCTCAAAGCACACAAACAGGAGCAGCTTCCAGGGGGGCATTTAGGCACTGTTAGCTCACCACTAAATCAGTTTTCTAAGTTGAGTACGGAAAAGGATGCATTATAAACACAACCTTGGCCAGCTGGCTGACGGAGCAGGGCAGTCCCTGACACAGCAGCTGCCACTCTCAGCAGCATTTCACAATTTAAGCCAAACCACAGCTCAAAGCATTGGAGGCTTCTGCTGAATCAAGGAGTACAGAAGTGCACGTGGACAGCTTTGCTTTGCACACTTAACCAAGAGGCACGGCGTGCTGACTGACAAGCGGTGGTTATCCACTTGGCTACCTACTTGTAGCTTACAGCACAAACAGTTCTCCTTCCTCCTTTTAAAGAAGTGGTCATACCTGGCTCAATTGCAGAAGATTGAATGTTTTGCTACTGACTCAACACCTTTTCACGTTGTCTTTGATTCCCACGCAGAGAACAGCCCTGCAAACAGAAGGGACTGCTTGTGGCCGATGTCAGGTGCTCAAGCATCTTGCTGGGCTGGGACTAAGGCTGTCAGCTCCTGGCACAACCAGGCACCACAGAAGTTAGACAAAAAGAAACGAGACAACCGAAAAAACTCAACCATCCTCCATACCTAATTGTGAACTACCACTTTAGATGCTTCTCCCATTGGGAAGTTAGTCTCCATGTGTTTAGTAAGAGAGGGAAATGCAGCCTTTTCTCCAATGGAAAAGTGCAGGAGCAGAAAAAGTGGTTTTCTTACTTCATTATCAAAGCCAGATGCCCCTCAGTGGAAGTGTTTGCTCCAACTGCAGCTCTTGCTCAGAAAAATATGCTGGGTTATCAAAATGCTGTGTACCAGATCTACGTAACCAGCGTTTGTTCTCAGAAATACTAATTAATGTGGAAAATAAATGCCTTCAACAGAAACGGTGGCTAAAATATTTTATTTTTTTATATCATAGAACATACTGCTGTTTGATTTAAATCACTTTAGAGTAAAGGCACACATTGTTAAAAATACTTCAAATTACATTACATGTACAAACGCATGAAACAGATGTACATGTCACCAAAAAAATACAGTATGGCTTCGTAAGGCTGAGGCAGGGCTGGGACAGTTCAACAGAGTTAAGTTTTACAGGATGCTCTAACACTGAGGACTGACTAGAACAGAAAAGAATGGACCTAAAGCACTGATTGTTACACAGACAGTACAACACATCAGATACACAACACTGGGCAGTCAGGTTTGGATTCGCAGGACTGACAGACAGGACTGCAAATCCATCGGGCTTTCAAGTGCCACTGAGCAAACAGTGCATACGTGTGCCAGTTTGCAACAGCGAGGAGAAACTGCAAGTTCTGTCCCCAGACAGCCTCCTTCATATCTGCTGATGATATGCTTAAAAAGAAAGAAGAAAAAGTGAAACAAAGACTCAAGATAGTAACTGCTGATAATGGCTGATCAACAAGCGGACAGCTTGCACTTCTAAACAGCATATGATGTCAAGTCTGCGAGAATGCTCCATGACAACAGTCTAGCATTAGTCCCACCCGAGTTTAAGGCTCATGTCTAAAATTTACCTTAGATTTGTTTTCCTTTGTGTAAAATTACCTGAGCACAGATATGAAAGATCTACAGAGCTTTCACAATATCTGCAGATACCTTAAAGATCAGTAGGTATCTTAAAGCAAGACATCGATATATTTTGAACTCTAACAGCTAAAAAGACCTCAAAAAAAAAAAAAAAAAGTAAGCCAAACAAAACCAAATTCAAAACAAAAAAAACAAAACCAAGAAAAGACAACAACAATATTTTGGTATGTCAGGAGAGCCAGGAGAAGAAGGAGGTCAAGCTTCTGCTTTCATCTCTTAATAATGCATGTAACATGGAATAGAATTATTCAAATAGGACTGCCGAACTGTAAACAATGCATTAAACCTTTACAAAAAAAGTCAGGAAGCAGAATGGAGGCAGTCACTCCAGTCTTCTCTAAAAAGATCATCAACGTGGTTTTCAGTCTCACAAGAGACGGCTGGGGGCTCCTCAAGCACTGACTGATGGAAAATGAGAAGGACCTGACTCCATCCCACTCTGTACCACCATCACATTTTTGTGTTCACGAAGTATGAATTGCTGCCATTCTCATTTGCTCAGGTTTATTCCCTGCACAGCTCTAAGGCCCAGATCCAGAAACACACCATGCGTTGTCTTAAGTGCAGGACTGGGTTTGATTTCATAGGTTTGAAGATGAACACGTACTTCAGGGATTTGCTGCAGGGGGACACACAGCATTTGCAGAGTGCGAGGCAGCAGAGCATCGGGCTGCATGGACAGACCGGATCCCAGCAAAGCCCCTGCCAGCACAGAGCAGGGCCTGGCAGGTACACATACAGGCCTCCAGCCACCAACAGGCTTTGTGGGACGACCTCCAGCACAAGGCTCTGGACATTCACCCTGCTGTTTGATATTCACCCAGCCTGTTGATTTTATTGAACCAACTGAAAGCAGCAAGGAAACACAAAGTACAACATGTTTTCCTCCTCTTGCCTTGCACACTGGTTCTCATCTTTCAGTCACAAAAGAAATCAGTAAAAACAAAAACCCCACTTTAATCAGTGAGCAACTGTATATGAGCCTGAGGAGCAAATGGGACTCCATTGAAATACATCGGGTTAAAACTCTGATATGCCAATCAAAGCTGTCTGCACTGCGGAACTGGGAGCAGCTGATTGCAGAGGGCACTTCACAATCATCGAAAACCCCGTATAGATGGTACCAAAACCTCCTATTATGTATCAGCCCAAATGATAAAATAAAAGAGATGGGTGACAGATGGCTGTTCTGGAAAATCTTAAAAATCACAGCAGTCTGATGTACCCATTATTCTATGTATAAATAGCAGGTAACCCAAATAAAATGCTATCGCTAGTTTGAAAAACTAAGTTGAACATTGCTTTTCTATTAAATAGATTAAAATATTCATCCACTGAGAAATTACATTGATAAATAAAATATTTTCATGTATCAAAAATGAGGAGCAGGAACGATCAACTCCAGACTTCTTGTCCCGATAACGAAAGGTCTGAGAAACAAAACCTGTACAGTAGTTCTAGTCTCAAATTTACAATACTGAATCCAGCAGGATTTGGCTAAACAATACACTTTAAATAACCTAATCTAAAGGAACAGAGTGTCCTGTAAACATCTGACACATTGCATTCTGATGGCGTGGCTCTACCTTCTCTACGCAGAAGACAATTCAACCGGTGGTGGTAAGGAGGGATGCAATCTAAAGGCAGCACTTCCATTCTTCAGTAAGGCTTGTAAAGAAATCCGAGTGGTGAACACACAGCTGCCTGTACAGTTCTGACATTTTTGGAAAGCTTTCAAGTCTTTAAAAAGCCTAAATGTTTTTAAGTATAAAACACACATTGAGAAGACGCCCTTCTGCATTACGTGTAAAGTGTCTGGCACCAGAAAGGACCGCTAGGTATTATTATACCCGAGGAAAGAAAATCGATCACTCCAGCAAGTGTCCCTGAATTTCACAGCAGATGCAGCCAATTTGGTTACTTGGTGTTCTGTTCTCCTGGAAAAAAAGTCACGAGCATACACTCTTTGAGCTGTCTGTACTACATCATTATTAATATATATTATATATACACACACCGTATAGATATATATAATATATATTTGTGCACGTATTACATTTGCCTCAATCTGGAATCATGTGGTTTCATGCAACGCACCAGGAATCAAACTTATTCATCAGATCATAGCTGGTGTAAATTCAGTATCAAATCTTTTATTATACAGCAATTCAGCTTTGCTCCACACCCATCGCCTCTGAGTAGAATCCTCATTTCCTTCTTCTTTCACATTTGTTGCCTCCATCGCCTTTCTCAGCCACTTTCTTCACGTTGTGCCTCCGCTTACGTTCAATGCTGAGACCGTATTTCTGTCAGCTTCTGAAGATAGCTTTGTGCTGCTGGCATCGAGAGAATAAACTGAACCGTCCTTTGACCTATTCGGTAGCAGCCATAACCCATCAGTCCAAAAACTGTTGCTTTTATGACAAATTTGAAAATCTTACTTGAAGCTGATGGAGGAGGCACACTGGGGCAAAAGAGACATAAAACAGTGGTGAACATCTGCAGAGCTGGAACAAACAGGCATCTGAGAAACGCGCACGTTTTGATTCAGAGGACTTCCAAAGTCATTTTGCAACACGCAAAGACCTAACGTGTAGAAATGTGAAGAACTCCAGCCTTGCAGTAGATGGCAGTCACTAACACAAAGATGCAACTGCTCTGCAACTGCACTGCAGCAGCACGAACCGAGAAAGATTTCAATGAGAAGAACCTTAGCATAGTAATCTTTCAAACATAATTTGCTTTATATTGTTTTAAAAAGTGAAGTTAAGGCAATGCTCAGCTTTTAGGAAAAATACCAATAACTCTTGCACTTAGTTGTCCTAAAGCACTGCAGGCCCTACCCATACTAACAGGTCACACTGTAATCCCTCATACGTTTTGCTAAGTCCCAGCCTCTGTGGCTTTACAGGATACAGTCTGAACAGTTTCTTCTTTTATAAAGCACATACACCTATTTTATCAGTTACACTGGAGCGAAAATCTGTGGCTTGAACACTGCCCACACTGAAGTTATGCTAGGCCAGAAGCCTGTTGTGGTCACTTTCTATACAGACCACATTTGAATTTTCACTTGAAAAGCCTTTGGGTGTAGACTGACACTTTTTCCTCCAGACAGTGGCATTTTCTCACCTCACCTTCCCTCAATATACCACTATCTATTGTTTTCACTCCTTTCCTTTGGCAGTTTCTGTTCCTTTGCTGTACGCAGTCGGCACAGCAAGTCAGTGAGCTGACAGGGCAGCAATTGCAGCAGCGGCATTTCTGTAAGCTGTGACAAAAGACCAAGAAACCTCCAAACAAACCAATCATTGCTGACTTTGAGCAAGTGAAGCTGCTATGGCAAGACATGGGGAAGGATGACATACCTCATTATTTCCTGAATGTTTAAGTCAGAGTTCCAGTTCTTTTCAATTCCAGGTACGTGACCCATCCCAACCACACCAACTACAACAGCAGGGATGTATTTCCTAGGTTCAGCTAGGGAAGAGATGGAAACAAAGGAACACATTTGTAGAAGAACCAGTTTCAAGCTACAAATGAACAGGTAACGTGCAAGATTACAAGACAGCATTTTCGAAGCAGCAGAGACTCGTTACTATGCATCAAAAATTACACATATTTCCATGTCTCACCCAATGCCTCATGTTTTTAATTTGTTGCTTTTCTTCCTCTTCCCACCCCCCCCCCCCCCCCCCCTCAAACTTTAGCATAACTTCTTATTGTCAGGAAATGTTTGTTCCAGTAAGCAGAACTGGCTAGGGCTCACACTCCAGCCTCCAGATGCAAGCTCTGCTGAGCCTCCAAATCCATCTCTTCCCCACCCTGTGTGGGTCATGCTTCTGTGCTGTTTATGGGGTACGGCCCTGGCCTTTGCTCTCTCCCAAGAAGAGCTTTGATCACAGCTTTGAACAGCTGGCATAAATCCCAGTAATGGGAAGGCACAGGCTGGCAGCCATGGACAGCCAGAGAACAGGGCCTGAGATCAGACCTGACCCTGTTACAGAGGTGCCGTTACAGACCCGGCCTCAGCAAGAAACAGCAAAACCTGTGCTGTTAGTGTGCAACAGCCGGGTAGCTGGTCACCATTCCACCACAACACAGCGCAGCTCTCACCCTAACCTCCCATCTACCAGCCAACATTCAGGAGAAACTGATGCATTAATCCCAAAACTTTTTGGATTACCTCTCCCTCACTGGGAAAATTGGTAATGTGTCATGAGAACAATATGAGAAAAGTAGTAATAATAGCGACATGCAGCTTAGGAAAACCACCTCTGGCACTGTCTCATTTAGTAAAACATTGCAGCAGAGGTCTGTCAGTCAGGTGAGGCATTCACATTCTTGTCATTTGCAGTCCCATCTTTGATTCTAAATCCTCTGCAACGCATGTAAAACCCATTCAGTTTCCCAGGCATTCAGTGAACCTGTGATTCACAAACTCTACTCTTAAGGTAGAATTAAAGAAAGGCAAAAAGAACAACAAACAAAGGACTCACTACACAATTCTTCTTTGTGGCTTATGATCCAGCAAAGAATAACAACGAAACTTACTTTTCAGTCTGCTCCTTTGATTGAATGACTGAATGCATGCATGAACGGTTGGACTAGATGATCTCAGAGGTCTTTTCCAGCCTTAATGATTCTATGCCTCCTTTGATTACATTACCTGCACTAACAATATGTTTTTGATGAAGCTTCACCAAGTCAACATTGAAGTAATAATAGACAAGGGAAGTGCAAGAAGTAGTACATTATTTTTACAATCAGGAGACAGTGTCAGAGGTCTGCACTGAAGCACTTATAAACAAGACAGCGAAAAGAAGGCAACCCTTTCTTCAGTATGCATGTGTGCACGTATATACACACATTTCTTTACACAAAGGGGATGCAGATTGCACACGGCAGTAAAATACTTGTGAAGGCTGGAGAAATATTCAATATGCCTATGCCTTGCTGAAACACACAGAGTTCATACTTGTTGCATATCACCAGGGTTCCCAGGAGCCCAATTTATAATAAGCAAAGCTTATTGAGATGAATACTGAAAATTAGAAGTAATTAGTTCAGCAGGAAATCTGTGCCTAAGCAGCTACGGGTGACAATGAATTTGGTGAGATAGCGAGACAGGTGATGCACGTCTAGACTGTCCCATGCTGTGCTGTAATGCCAGACGCCTGCCTTTTGAAGAAGCTGTCAGACTAATCAGTATTTTGCAGGTCTAAACAGCACAGTGAGAAAAGAAGCATAATTAGCAGTCTATTGCTTTGTGAGATTTCTTCTACAGGAGGTTGCAGTAGGGGAGTCATATGCCCCTTAACTTTTCAAGCACTGCAATCTTCTGTGATATGCGGCATCTCTCTTGGATAAACACACAGAACCCCACAGTCTTCCCACAAAGAGCTGGGATATGTACCAGCACACAAAGAACACACTGATTAAGGTATTTGCTTTAAAACAATTACTTTCTGAAGCCCGAGGTAGTTCTATCTGCTTTGCTGCTTGCTTCAGCATGTAGGTCAAGTAAATATCCCGTTCCGAGACGATTGTTCGATGAAGATCAGGAAATTCTCCAATCATCTCTGCCATCATCTGCTCCAGTAAATCCTTCTGTTTGCATTTTTCCACGTCATCTTTACTGAAAGAAAGGTTACGTTTTCTCAGTATCTGTGCTACACTTCTAAAGCCCGGTGCAGACAAACCGATGAATACAAAGAATCCAACGCTATACCTGTTATTCACATAGAGCCGCACAGACAGCTCTCCTCTCAGAAAGAGGAACAGCCTGCATTAGCCTGAAAAGCTGCATTCTTAACAATGCCTCTACAGTGAGAGAAAGGCAAAGCAGAGGTCACTTGCCTTTAGGCAGCTCAACCAAAAATTCACCTTTCCCAATTTAAAGGCTGACAACAGCAGAAAAGCACCAGGGCTTCAAAGGAAAGAGTTATCACAGTGCCCCACTTTTACTGTATATTCAGTCTAAAGAAGGCAACAGAGAGCTCCTGAGGAGCACATCTGATCACTGAATGCATGAAGGCTCTATTTAAGGAAGGAAATAGCACACTGCCAGGCACAGTCTGCAAGGGTGGAAAGGATTCTGTAGTGCTTGTGTCGATCACAGGTCTTCAGCAGGGCAGTGAGTTATTAATCAGTTCCCTGAATGGAAGAACAGAAACAGACTGGAAATAAATTAGAACTGCAGGAGCAAATTTAATGAGTTTTTGTATTACTGTTACTTTTTTAAATGGGTGCTGTCAACCTTCTGTTTGCAGCCACAGCAGTGGCACAGTCACAGTCTGGCAACAAAATCATCTGGCTTTGCATCACTGCCTGCTGGAGAACGATGCCAAAATTTTTATCTATTTACTTTCTGAAGTTTGACATCAAAAGGATGCTTCAAAAAGCAGACAACCAAAAAAAGGCACTGATAACTTTCAACAGAGCATGGAAACAGGCTGCCAAACCTGATTTAGAGTTATTACTCCATTTTCAGTAGAATCTCATAGTGATGAGTAAGTGAACTCATCTATGCAGCACCTACCCCAGCAGCTTCTTAATTACACCCACCTTTCCTTTTCAATTCCTACCCATGTTATTTTTAAAACATTGATGTAGCACATCAATCAACTGTAAGACAACACTTAGAATATTACTGTGTTATAAAGATAATTTATTGTTAATTATCTTAATATTTCAGTTGAAAACCAAAAAATCACATCAGCATGAATGTGAGAATTTGCTGAGAAACACATTCTCCAGCTCCCACCAGAAACTGGAAACAGTTTCATCTTGGTATCTGATTCCTAAGTAACAAAACTTTGCACATGAACTGCAGTTAATGGATTGAAAGCAGGATCAACATTTTACAGATGAAGTAGCAAGTGTTTACAGGTAACAACAATTTAGTAAATGCTAGAACTGAGAAACAAGGCTACCAGCTCCAGCCCTGGCCCCACTTCAAGCGCCTGCAAGAACTGACATCAATCACTTCAATGAGGTGTGCAGAGTTCTGGTTACAGAGCACGAGAGGCACAGAGATTCAGGGTCCACACGCACTGCAAACCTGCTTCTGGCAAGCCTCCCACCACAGCAAGTCTGATGGGAGCAGATGGAACTCAGGGTGACAGCTGGGCATGCTGCCACCCAGGTCAAGCAAGTTTTCACACCTACTGGTGTCCAGACGCAAAGAGGAAGCAAACTTGGCACAGTGGTTTCTTTAAAGGGCACCGGAAACCAAACTGAGCAAGGGAATAAATAGTCTGACAAGTATTACTGTGAGACAGTAACCTAACAGCATCCCCTCGTAAAGGCCATGGTCATTAAGAGATTGACACACTGTCGAGATTTCAAACATTTTCTCTTGTTCCCAACATCTGCTCAGACAGCAGATGATGTGGATTCAGTTCTCAGGCTGCTCTGATTTACACATGACTTAGTACAGCAGGCCCAAGTCCTTTGGAAATCTGAATGAAACCATTATGATGAGGCTCTACTCTCTTTCATTTACAGTATCAACACAGCAGTACTAAGAATTTATTTTCAGCATAAAATCATCTACTTTTAAGTGATCAATGACCTAGAGTTAATCAAAATGCTATTATTCAAACAAATGTAGCAGGATAGCCAGCTTTCTTTTTAAAAATGTGAACTATTTGAGGACTGTTTGTATATTTTTCTCTCTCACTAATGTGAGGTCTCACCACATCAGTCTGGGTTTGAGAACTTCAGGCTCCTACCACACAGAAGAGATGAACAATTCATTGCTAAACATATGGGATGTTTATTCATACCTGATTGGGTCAGATAGGAAGCAAAGGCCCCAGGCAAGCTTGACTTTTTGCCAGAAAGAAAGTGCAGCAATCGCCCTCTTAAATGTAACAGGGATGGGTCTGTCCCCAAGATGAAATTTACAGAAAGGTACTTTACTAGCCTGGAAAAGAAGATAAAAACCACTAGTCAACACATACTGTATCACAGTAGAGCACTATTAAGATAATTTTTATTATGTGATTGAAGTTATTTTAACAACAACCAAAAAAAACCAGCAAGTCACAGTTAGACAGCAAGAAATATTTTGGCCACGTAAACAAAATTTTGAGTATACAACTTCCTACAGGAGTACAAAACATTGAGTCATAATGCCACCTTTAATTTTATTTTACCAAGATAGAAAGCTCCTGCTTAGAACTGCTTAAGATGAACAGATGTGGCTCAGTATCTTCACAGATCTGAATAAAATCCAAGGGAAAATGATTTTGCTTGTTTTGATTTTAACCAGGATTTTGTCAGGATCACAAACCTATTGGTCTGTCACGATAAAATGCATTCCAGGAGGAGCTCATGAAACAAAAACTGATGCAGGGTACCAGAAGGCAATGTCAGGAGAGACTATGCTGTAACTAAGGCTGACACATTTTAGTGCAAAACAGTAAAACAAAATTATCTAAGCATACCTGTTTAACAATCTCAAACAGCCACTTCAGAAAAGGATACAGAGCTAACCAACTCTAATTCATCCTGACAGATTTGTTTCCATAGGTTGAAATCCTGACACCACCAACAGTACGACCAGGATCCACACCCAAAATTCAAAAGCAGTTATTCAAACAAGAACAAAATAAACTGAAACAAATACCATCAAAATTAGCACTTACTTGAAGCCTTTTTGGAGTTGCTTTTGTCTAATTTAGGGCTATGAATCTTCGTATTTTTGAAGCCAAAGATGGCTTTTACCACTTCATAGGCTTCAACAAAAACATGGCCACAGAGTGCCCCTTTCTAACTAATGCCTTTATTTACTGACACTGGAAGCAAAAGGCCAGAAATTTGACCTCAGAAAAACTATTTCATGATCGCACCTCTTTGAAAGCCTCTCTGAATTCCCCTCCTGGGGCCATCCCCAGCTGTTCTGTGATGTGAGCAGACACTTTCAGAAGCAGCATTTGCATCAGTCCAGACATGACTCCATTCTGGTGGAAAAGGAGAAGAATGTTAAAAAGAAATACTATCATACTGTGCGGATTTCTCAGAAGAATGCACTGTTCACAATCATGAAGAAACACTGAATATCTTAGTGAAGAAGGGATACTGAGGATACTTTTTGGAGCTAACTCCCTGATGAATGCAGCTCTTCTGTTTCAGCTTCTATCATTTGTAAAGAGACTTTTTCAGTGGTGTGCAGTCTCTATTCAACAACAACAACAACAACAAAAAGGATGACAGCAAAAGGCAGGGGAGTAGCCAAATTTATTTCTGTCTCCATTTATTTTACCTGACTGATGATGTAAGAGCTGTTCTGCCATACATACTGTACTTTTGTTTCTGGATTTGGTTGCAAAAAAAGAAAAAAAGAAAAAAAAAAAAAGAAAAAAAGAAAAAAAAAGGGGGAACATAAAAGTACGTTCAATTGGATTTACAGTCATGTTATAGAGATACTTAGAAGAAATAGCCAGTGGTCTCGAAATAAATGCTCCCACGATCCCAGTGAAGCACTGTGCTGGGCACCAGTTAGGCTAACAGCTGCAGAAACAGAATTCAAGGTTGTGCAAGAATTTGATGTGCATGACTTCAGCACATGAGACCTTAGAAGGAAAACTTTGGGTCTGACTCACTCCCACTTACAAGCATACTGAAGGCCCCTCCTTGCACAAAGAATCTTATTACCTTCTGAAACAGACACAACAATGCAGACTTCTTTACTGAAGAAGAGAACAATCCCCTACATACCTTTAAGCAAAATTTCCCTTCCCAGCTCCTCAAACAAAGATGAAAACATCACTGCAAATCCATTCAGAGCTCTTTCATCCAGCTCTGGCTGTCCTACTCCACTTGTTCTTACGAAAAAGACCCAGTAACTGAGTGCTACCTGTCTCCAAGAACAGTCTGTCACCTAGCTATGCATCTCCTTCGATCTGGCATCATCCCATACTGTTACCAAAAGGGGCATTCCCCTCTCCCTCACCAAAGGTTAGCTTTCCCACTACATCAGCAGCTACACGTGACTGAAGGTGAGGTTACATGGGACAGAGTTGATAGGACTGCTCAAAGTTACTGGGAAGATGCTGGTCTCCCCTACTTGCTCCCATGGACACACTCAAGCAACCCTTCCAGTGCCAGCTTTGATACCTGTGCAGTCTCTCCCAAGGCCATAGGCAGTTTCTGCAGGTAAGCAGATTAGAGTCACTAAGGATTGGCAGAAGAGGAGAGCAGCTACTGTCAAAGCTAGCTATGCATCTGCTTCATCAGGCTACAAACCAGCAAGCAAGGCATGTTACAGGAACAACCAACTGACATACAGCTGTCATCTTATGAATATGCCAAGCAGAAAGACAGGACACCGTGCTGCTGGGGAGAGACAAGGAAAGGCAGTGAAAAGGAGTCAGCATCTGAGACTGAGTTCAACAGCCACAGAAACAAGGGTTTCCAGAAGTTCAGGGAAGATAAACAAACAAACAAAACTAAGATAATGCAAACTTAGGTCATCTGTGGGCTCATCCACCCTTTAGAACTGGATTGATATATTTGAAGTCTACATTTTTACACAGTAATGGGAAGATTTTCCCTGCTGGATAACAAAGGGATGCACCTCTGAAGTGTCTGACTCATTTTCGCTCCTAATGTGCACGGAACTCAGTGCTTGCCACATCTGCTCAGCATCACAGAAGTGCCTGTCACATAAAAGGTGACAAGCAGCAATGCATAGCACCAACCAGCAGTGACTGGCCAGTCAGAAGGCGTGGGAATAAAGAGCAAAATGCAGGAACAACGATAGGAACAAAACACTAAGAGAGTTTGTTAGCAATACCAGATTATTCCATGTCAGATAAGAGAAAGATGACCACAACAGAGTATTAAATCCTGAAGGACCCACTTCACAGCTATAAACACAAAGTGAAGCATATCTGCAAAGAAATTCAACTGCTCAGACAGAGGGATGTGGAGCTACCAGCACATAGGACAGGGAATGTGAAGTAGCAATTCTGTAAGCCCAGTGCTTCACAGTAGGCAGAATGCAAGTAAAATGAGAAGGATTGTCAGGAAAGGAATGGAACAGAAACACACGCTACTGTGTTGTCTTTAGTGGATGAGAGCTGTGAAGACAAAATACTTGAAGGCGTGCACAGAAATATCAAATGCATGAGTACGTAGTGTGTTTAATCTCTTCTAGTGAGGCTTGAGAATGGAGGAGTGATCACAGAATGGCTTAGGTTGGAGGGGACCTTAAAGATGCCCTAAAAATCCCCATGCTGTGGGCAGGCTGCCACCCACTAGCTCAGGCTGCCAGGGCTCTATCCAGCCTGGCCTTGAACGCCTCCAGGGATGGGGCACCACAGCTCTGGGCAGCTATGACAGTGCCTCACCGCCCTCTGAGCAGAGAATTTCCTCCTAGCACCCATCTAAATCTCCCCCCTTTTAATTTAAAGCAGTCTCCCCCCGCACCTATCACTATCAGATCATGTAAAGTGTAGGACCCGCTCATAAGCTCCCTTCAAATACTGGAAGGCCACAGTGAGGTTTCTCCCCAGGGTCTTCTCTTCTCCCATCTCAATAAGCCCAGCTCCCTCTATCTTTCTTCACAAGAGATATGCTCCAGCCCTATGATCATCCTACTGGCCCTTCTTTGGACCCACTTAAACATTTCCACATCCCTTATGTAGTGGGGGCCCCAGACTTGATACAATACTCCAGATGGGTCCTCCCAAGAGCACAGTAATGCAGACAGTCACTCTCCCTGCAGGCCGCCCCTCTGTTGATGCAACCCAGGATACTGTTGGCCTTCTGGGTTGCACACGCACACTGCTGGCTCTGTCCAGCTTTCTGTGATGAAGGTAAGAATATAGGTAATAAAACAGCTAGCATTTTGCTGGAGGCACCAAACAGGATGGCAGAAGAGATGAATGCCCAGGCAAGGTCTGACTACAGGTCCCCACGCTCTTCTCCAGGCATCTACTATTGGCAACTGCCAATGGCCTTCTGGAGCAGACAGCTCTTCCTTCAGACAGCACAGCCGTGCTTATGTTATGTATGGGAATGCAGCCTAAGGAGTGCAGCTTGCAGCTGCTCTGACTGTGTCAGAGGTTACAGATCCAACAGCCTAACTACAGAACTGCAGGCAGAAACAAGCAGCATGTATTTTAGCCCTGGGTTTCTTCAAGAAAACAAAACAAAACAAAACAAAACAACACTAAATGCCATGGATGTAACCCTGTACAACCACAGCCAGGCCAGCAGAGATTGGAACTCGTTTTACTACTGCTGCAGGTGCACTGGAGGCTAGCCTTCAAGGCACCAGAGCAAGCAGCCTGTGCAGATCCACATACATATGGTGCTCTTCACCTACCAATTCACAATGTCTATTATTTAACAGAAAATTGTGTAGGCTAACTAAGCATGAAGGGCTGTTTTGCACAGCTTAGTAACAGCTTTTTCATTGGCCAGAAGCATGATAAAAATCATTACAGTATATTTCTGCACAGGTACACTCATCCCAGAAGAGTAGGTTAAAACAAGCCCCTTTCAGCTTTTGCTGCCACCAGCCTACTTCTTCCTCTCCCAAAGTTTCCCTCCTTAGAGACAACAACAGGAGAGCAACACAGGGACATAACACAGCTGAAAAGCATGCCCTATTCAGGCAGCCTCATGGCCATGTGAACTCTAGTAGGGACACAGAAGGGAGGCAGAAATGTGAAGCTGAGGAGAAGAGATGACCAAACCAGTCTTACCAGTTTGGTTTAAGCCAACCGCTCAGGTAACACACATTTGAGCCAAATTTCAGTCTGCACTTAATGGAAAGCAAACAGTCAGTTCTCTGTAAACCACTGTAAGAATTTTGAAATTCAAAGTGGAGCCGGAGGAAGTGTTTTCTAAACCCCCAACAGATGCTTGACAAGCTGTGAATACCACGGATAAATTGCAAACGTGCAACAGTTTCACATGGACACTCAGCTCAGCTTCCAACTTCAGTAATTAAGCATGAAATCCATTTTCACTGCTTTAGAGCCACAACAGAAAGACATGGCATTATTTTGCTAATTCGATACCCCAGGATGAAAGTTACAAGCAGTTTTAACTTTTGCTGTAACTTTCTGGCCCGACTGCCAGTTCCATCACCGTGAAATGGGGGGGTGACAACTGAAGCAGGCAGAGCAACTTACTGGCTCACTGCTTTTTCCCTACTACAAAGCCAAAGACACTATCTTAGCACAAGACAGTTGGACTGTTTCCTAGTGCTCCCTATATAACTCACAGTGCAGCAGAATCAAACAAGGGAGACTTTTTTTTTTTTTGTGGCTGAGCTCATACATGGAGAAATACATTCTTTAAAGGCACAACATCCAAATACTAGCATTTGCATCACTTCTCATGAGAAAAGAGGCTGAGCTGTCACAGTACTGATCCTTGCGTTGTTACTCTGATTTTGGACCCCATACAGCCTGAACAGAGGATCGCTTTCAGTTCTGACAGGAACTGCTGATAAAAAAGCTGCCAACACAAATCAACATCAAAGGATTTTCTTCTCTGTATGCTACTTATTTTGCAATGTAAGGCATTTTATTTTCATTGTCCTTTTCCAATGTCCTCTTAAAAGAGAAAAACTTTACACAGTAAAAATGGCTGCATTTAGGCTTTGATATAAAACAACTTTTTAAAATTTATTTTTATAAAACAAAGGCAGCTTCTGTGCTTGTTTGCCAGGTCAAAAGACCCTCAACTACGCTGCTCTGTTGTAAAGATGCATTATTTTGGTTACGTGCATCCAAGCAATCCACCTTGCCTAAAAGAGATGGATGGATGCAATAACTCACGCAACATGCAGATGTTTTGCAATCTTCTATCCTCTGATTGGACATAAATAAAGAAAACAGGAAAGGTACATTATTGCCTAACTGTATGAGTCAGAAAGACTGCAGTGAAAGACACAGTGAAACACAAAGACACCACAGATTTGCCCCTAGCCACTCACACACCTTACGTGGATGTACTTTATATTCCTGTGAAGGATGCAGTCCTGGAATTTCTCCAGTTACATCAATAAAATCATTCCAATACGTAACTGCAGCGTATGCGCACCACACACCAAAGTCTGTGAGTTTGTTCACCCAGATGGATGCTGCAAAAGCTTTTGACTTTCCCAAAAATTACTATTCTACATCCCACGATCACTTCAGAATCGACTTAGTGCTGTTTCACTGGGCCTACCTTAAAATTAGTTAAATACAGACTAATAAGGAAAAACTGAAAACTGAAGGACAACACTCGCTATGCACCCACACATCCAAAACAGTGGCAAACTGCCAGACTAGCAGTAATTCAAACAGTAATCTACTCTTATCTGCCCAGTTTTTTTTAAACAGCCTTCATCAAGGCCAACAGTCAATAAGCAGCTACTCTGAAGACAAGTGGAATGGAAATAACCAAAAGCAACACCCTACCAAAAAGGAGGAATGCAACTGAGTAGACTACTACAGACAATAGCAAAAGTAAGCACTCCTGCAGTAGCTGTAATACTGATGCAGATTGCAGGGATAGTAACCATATCTACATAGATTAGTGGAACACTACAATTAAGTACTCGTGTCCTGGAAGTGGAACTACTGTTAAACACAGGAAGAGCCCTGCTGAGGTCAACACCTGCCTGCACAATTCAGCAGTGCAACTGAAGCCCACAGCACTGCAGCTAAAAACAAAATACCAACCTATGTACAACTTACCACCACCGTGGCATCTTCACCTAGATAAACACCGCTAAGTTTCCAGCTAGCAGGAATACCTTTTTTAGTTGTAACTCGTATCAGGAGTAATTCATCCAGTCTTTAACTCTCACTGTGGAAATCATACCTGCTTTATAGCTTGCTGAAGTTTCTCCAGATTTATTTCTTTGGCTTCTTTTAGTAAAGTCTTCTCATCCATCTTTAACATAGAAACTCTGTACTGGCACAGTTCCACCACAACCACATCTGGCTGCACTTCTTGTATTGTCTGAAAGAGAAGAATTATATGTATTTTTTACACCAATTTAGGAATGATTGAACAGAATTACAGCCAATGTTGATACTTCCATGAGAAAAGGGTCTTAAAAGCACATTCCAGCAATCATTTTCAAATAAAATAACAATGAGAAAGCAAGACTTCCCAAAGGAGCTATTTATTGAGAAAAATGAAGAAAATGACAGTGAAATGCCCGAGCTACTGGATGTTTTGGGACAGGAAGAAAGACAACAAAAGAAAATCATGATGAAAGACAACAAAAGAAATCATATGTGCTTCTTTTTTTTCACACTAGCAATGTCCCTTTACCCACAGCCTGTGACCACTTGAAATTTTACTTAAAAATAACAACAAAAAAAACCACACTTTATTAAGAGCCAGAGTTGATTCTGATACAATATTCCTTCCCTCTTGTGATCCAGAGAATAAAGCCACTCTGAATTGCAGGCTTTGCATAAAATCCTGTATGAAATAGCTCCCACTTCCACTAGTGCTTCTGACCCATTTGTATTTTTGACTACGTTCTCAAGTTATGGGCAGCGTGGTTTTACAGCTCAGTATGACACATCCCAGACACAAAGAAGCCAAGAACTGCAGTTCCTGTTCTAAGGCTTTGCATCCTCTCATCACATCCTCATCACAGTAACCATACAGTAACACAGAATCACAGAATGGCCAGGGTTGGAAGGGACCTCAAGGATCATGAAGCTCCAACCCCCCTGCCACATACAGGGCCACCAAACTCCACGTTTAATGCTAAACCAGGCTGCCCAGGGCCCCATCCAACCTGGCCTTGAACACCTCCAAGGACGGGGCATCCACAGCCTCTCTGGGCAGCCTGTTCCAGCACCTCACCACTCTCTGGGTAAAGAATTTCCCCCTGATGTCCGACTTAAATCTCCCCTCCCTCAACTTAAAACCATTTCCCCTTGTCTTACACGTATCAACCCTTTCAAAGAGTTGATTCCCCTCCCCTCTGTAGGCACCCTTTAGGTACTGAAAGACTGCAATGAGGTCACCTTGCAGCCTTCTTTTCTCCGAGCTGAACAAGCCCAGCTCCCTCAGCCTGTCCTCATAGGGGAGGTGCTCATCCCACCTTGCTGTCAAGTCCTCCAACAGATCATATGAAAAACAGGATCTAGAGGCTGCAGCAAAGAACAGTCGGACTTCATTCTGCCTTGTGACATTTTTAATAAGTTAACACTAGCAACACGGTGCCGAAAGGCTTCCAATTCAAAACTACCTTCACTACATCCTTTTTGCTGCTGTCACTGAAGTGGGCTGTTCCAACCACGTACACTTTAGAACCGTCCTCGGTGTCGAGCTCAGTCACAGTGCTTGGTAAGGCAGGTTTTTTCTGCCTCTTCTTCATCTTCATCTCCAGAAGAATTTTAAATGCGTCTGCATCAGCTGCGATTGTAAAGACAAAAGAAAAGCACAGATGATTAAGAAATGCAGGTAAGAAAGACAGAGAACAAAAATGTCGCCACTGAACAGCAGAGTAGAGCTAAAAGGCCATTGATTTACCACTGTAATCTTACATTCAATTCTGAGGCTACATCATTGAGAGTGCCACCACTGGAGAGGCTGCCTCCAAGCATGGGTCTCAGTCCAGGTTTCCTACCCTGTGGACACTGGGACAGGTTGTCCATGCAGTTCAGTAAGGGAAAGAGAAGCTGTGTGGCAGGTGAGGCGGACAGAGAAGCAAAGAATACTTAGAAAAGGTATATACTAAATCAGAAAAAAAAAAGAAAAAAAAGCATTTCTTCATTTCTAGAGCAAAAACGTTCCTTCTTGGAATCTTATCTGCATAAATGATAGAAACATATGTATGGTGCTACGAGTATGCTGGTAAAGGAACCAGTACACGTTGGACCATGTAGGATACCTGCCAATATAAATTTTAGCCTTCTGTGTGACGAACACACCAGAAATCTGTATACAATTGAAAATTAAAACTTAATAGGCATTTGGGTCAGGAAATGAACAATTCTCCCACGGTTTCAACAACAAACTAGGACCACACTGGTATAAAATGAGTTCAGCCCTGTATCAAGCTTGCCATAGAGAACTGAAAGATCTATCAGTTCCACCACTGTTGCTTGTGGAATGCCAGAAAGCTTCATCAACTGAGATAGAGATTTTATACCAACAGGAAATACAGTAACTTCACAAGAGTTTTCTTTAAGCTGGAGTGGATCTTACAACAAACAAACAAACAAACAAACAAGCCATCAAGGAGAAAAATAGATTTCTGTTTCCATGGCAAGCTGTTGCACAAGTCAGCAGAGACTTAAAGTGGTCCAAAAGCCAGGAATCCCAAAAGAAAAAGGTCAGCATGCACTTCATAAGTGGGATGTCACACACACACACACACACACACACACACACACACACACAAAATACAGTCTCCTACCACACATTCTCTATTTTTTCATGGCTGTTTCAGTCATGCTGCCCCAGATCTGTTCTATAAATATTTCTCTCAAAGGACCACACGTAAAAACCAAAACAGAACCAAATCCACCTCCAACATCCTTCTTAGTTAGCATTTTAGAAGCCCACTACTACATTGTTAGTACTCAAGAACATGGCATGCTGTAATCAGTATGGTCTGATCTGCTGGCAAAGCTGATGCTAAGGAGGCAGAGAGGAAGACACAACTGTAAAAAGAAGGAGCACTGCTGCATTTGTAGTGCTCAGCATCATCAAAGCAGCTGTTTAGATCAACCAAAATCTACCTAATCATATATATGGTCTACGAGAGCAGTCAAAAGTGGGTACCTAGGGAAGAGAGTAAGAGTCAGGAAAGCACGCACGGTGCTTTCTCCAAAAGATCTCCTTGCCTACAACCATTTATGGCTCAGATTACCTGAACTGAAAGTGGTTTCTGCATATTCAGTAATCCTTAAAGGATTTCCATTCTGTTAATTTTTCCAGCCTCCACCTCAAACACATATTCAGAGCTGAACAGAATGATGTTTCATGTGAAAAAAAAAAAAGCTCTCATAACAGCAAAGTAACAGACGTTATCAATTAAGGATATACTCAAGAAAAACATTCTCAGGAATTTTTTTTTTTAATTATTATTATTTTTTTTGTAAATGAAGCCAAGTTCTAAATCTGGAGAAAAAGCTCTCACAAACTAATCTGCTTCTATAGGTCTCAATTCTTCTTTAGGCTTTTCCCATAGCTATACTTAGTGCTCAGTTTGCTCCCATGATTGTTTCTTCTCAAAGCTGTGGTCATTCAGCAACTTCAGCATTAGTCAGGTTGCACTCAATCTGCCCTAAGGTGGTTCTCAGCCCATTACTTGCCAGAAAGCACAACCTGAACGTCCCCATTGTTCAAAAGGGAGGATTGCATATACTTGTGTCACAATGCTGTATCAATAAACAGAAAGCAAATCCTAAGAAGCATTTGTTCTTCTCCTTAGAGAGGAATGACTGTCATCATCTGATCCTCCTCATTGAAAGTTAAAGGCTGACACTTCTCCCAGTCTTCACAAGACAGTTTTGGCTGAAATATTCCTATGCTCATATCCCGCAGGCATGGCCTTCCTATCTTATTCCTATTCAAAAAATTATCATTATGGAGTGGGCAAGGTTTTCCTTCTGTTACAACTGATTCAACATTGTAACACTAGATGTCAAAACAAGGAGTCCAATGAGTGCTTATCTATCTTTTACACACCAAACTTAAGACAGCATGTGTTAAATAAAGCAATCTACACTCTTGTGAAAGCAGGAAAGCAGCACAATGGCCATCATCGCTCCTTTCAAATGTGCTTTATGCAGTCTTTCTACTAATCACAAACAGATGAAGCCAACATGAGCTCATTCACAGCGCCCTTTGGCCTTATTAGGTAAGGAAAAGGCACGGACATTGAGGTTAACAGCTTCCAACATGACACACCCTCCCCAGCCAAACCAGAAACATACAGATACTCTGCGATACACTTGACGTTTCCTTTGGGCCATCTTCTGGTACGTCAGAGGAAGACATTGGATCTGCAGCAGCCTGTATGAAACAAATTCAAAAGGAAGCAGGAAATTATAACGAAATGCTTTAATGCATCTTTGCTCTTGCGGATTTGCTTGATTTGAGCCTACGTGCAATATTCAAGCAACTAGATAATTTAAGCAGTGTCAACAGTGCAAAACATCCGTGGCTTTATAACTGTTTTTCTGATCTGTTTACGAGAGACGATAACTTACACCTGACACAAAGTTAAAAAATGTCTGACTTTGGAAGAAACCAAACAGATTTACAGTAACCCTAATGGTGATATAAAGATCTCTGTGTTGGAAACCAAAACGTGCACTGATTATTCCACTTTTCGGACAGCATATTTCTTTTAACTACAAGTAGTCAGCATTAATTTCGTCATTCTTGACAGACTAATAGCTCTCAAGTATACACAGGTCCATTCCTGAAGAGCCTGCCCAGATATTTCATCCTGTTAAGGTAAGTTAATGCACAGCAGGCAGACTCAGCCTTACAAAATCTGGGCATATATTGACTTTCATATGCAGCAGAAATCAGTCAGAAGGATGTGAAATTAAGTGTTTCCATGCTTTTGCCCGCTAAAGGATGAGAAGGGATGGAGAAGATTTCCAAAGACTGTCTTTAAAATATTATCACTCCAAGTATATATCATACCTTTCACTTGAGAAAGCATTCTTACTTGTAACTAGCACGCAGTTTTAAAAATCCTTTCATAAAATTCAAACAATTTAGTCTGTGCCATCCAAGCTGGAAAAACAGCTGGTAAAAATGAAGGCTTAAGGACTCAGAACACTCAACCATAAGCTACTTTTAGGCAACTATATTAATTCTAAGCTCAATCAGGATGATTACTGGGAGAATTTGAAGTTATTTAACAACACTAAGTCAAATAGTTAGGAAGGATGTGAATCCATAATCATTTAAGTACTTTCCAAACAAAAGGCAATATCAAAGTCAGCAAGCAGGTGGCCAAACTCTCCTGAAGGATGGCAGCTTTTTAGCTAGTAACCAATATCATTAAACTTCCTACTTAACCTGGCAAGCTTTAAACAGGACTGTGCAAAGCACATACCATTGCTAAGAGTTTCAACAAGAGTAATTTCTTCTCACACTCCATTGTTTCAGACAGCAATTTTTAGATAATAAATCTTATGTGCATTACTGTGGTATAATCCACTGAAGGTAAGGCAAAATTTATTACTGCATTTCCTGGAGTAAGACCAAGAAGTACAATGGGTCTAGAGCACTAAGCTGAAAGCATTTGCAATAACACACCATCCTCTCACTGCAAAGCAGTGCCTGTTCATGGACAACAGCAAACTGGAATTATGCTGCAAATTGGAATTACACTCTCAGATTTAATTAAACATCAGCTCAGCTTTTGATCACAACATATGGCCTGACTACTGTTTGCATACCTCAGTCTAGTCACAAAAACATTTTGGAAGGTACTTCAATGTAACAGAGAATTAGTTCTGTCACTTCTGCTGGCTTTATTATTGTAACGAGCCTGCTTTCCACTCTCTCCTCCCCTCCCCTCCTTTTTTTGTTAACAAGACACAGAACACGTGAACCAACACTTCCTAGCAAAAAGTTCAACTAAACTTCCCTTATTGCACTGGAAAAATATACAAAAGAATAAAAGGAATGGAACTAAGAACAAAAAAAACACCTGAGCTTAATTTGGCAAGGTACTTAAACTACGTACAGTGGAAATCATTCATATATGAAGGCTGCTCCGAAAGTTATGCCTCCTATTTTATGATCGGCTCATGACATCACAGGTGGATTTGGTGATATGGCAGTAGAGGTTGAACCTTCCTGCCAATATTCCATTGGCAGAATAACTTTGTTGCCACATACAGCAGCAGTCAGACAAATGGCATCTGACGTGGAAGTGTGAAGAAAAGGTGTGACAATGAATTCCTCCATGTGGAAAAAACAGCACTCGCTGACATTCATCACTGCTTGCTGAGCTACAGACCAAACAGTGGATGTGAGCTCAGCCAGGTGGCGGGTGGTGCATTTCAGCAGTGGGTCACCTCCACTGTGCAGGTTTTTATAAGCGTGGCATGCAGGCTCTTGTTCATCGCTGGTTAAAAGGCGCAGCAAATGGTGGAGACTATGTTGAAAAATAGTGTTTTTTAGCTGAGCATTTGCTCTAGATGTGGCAAAGCAATAGCAATGAGCCCTTCACTCCTCTATTTTTAAAGGGGTGTCATGCTGGTAGCCCTGGTACCCGACTTTGTAGACTTTCCCTACGAAAGAATAGAGCTAACTTAGAATCTCAGCCTTTCCTTCCATTACACTGAGAAGAAAACCTTCAACTCCAATTCCTACCTCAGGCTGTTGCTCCTCTTGCATCCCTGGAATGTAGGCTTAATTTTCACCAATCTCACAAGAACTGCAAGAAGTAAAAGGAATGGATGAGAATCATAAATTGATTACAAAACCCATAACATTCATTGATGAAACAGGAGAAGGGCTGGAAACAGAAGCAGCTCTACAAACACTTTGACAGAAGCTGTAGAAATAAGAACAACAAACTTAACATGTTCAAACGTCACCTTTTCAACTCTGCAGAAAAAAAAAGTCACCACAACGTCAGCAGGGTAAAGCGGCCTTGTCTCATTAATCCAATTTTTGAATTGGCTCTAAAACCAGAACATAGCCTTTGTTTTCCACACATTCTGAGAATATGTGGAACAAGAACAAATTTCATGGGAACTCTGAACTTTTTTTTCCTGTATTCTGCAAAATTGCTCTTTTCATCCAGTTCATTCATAAGCAGTCTAAAATACAGCGGCTGTCAAAAAGGTTTCAGTAATAGCAAAAATCTTGTTCAACTAGGTTAGTAGCTCTATGTCACCCAAATGAGGTATGATTTTAAGATAATTTAATGTAAATTTTTGAAATTGTCTGCACTTCATCACAGCAAGGGACAGAAAAGCTGTCTCAGTCTTAATAATCAACTAGGGAAACAGACACATTATCTGGTCAGTGTCACGTTATCACATACAAGTTCACAAATATGTCAGGGCCAGGACATCAGAAAAGGCACATTTATGTGAAAAACCTGGGAAGTGGGTTTACAGATCTTTGGTTTCCATTATTTGTTTCCATTCTGCTTTTTCTGCTTTAAGGCTCATTCTCCTGCACGTATTCTCCAAGTTCAGAAGTTATCCCTGAAGCCAGCAAAGCTCTAGGACTTGACCAATAGCACCCTAAGGGGATTGCACAAGATGCTGAACTTGTGATTCATTCTGCTTATTCTCACTACGATCCCCACTAAACAGCAAAGCACTTGCAGAAGAAAAAAAAGAAAGTAAGGTATTTTGGATTACCTCCCTCTGACCCATTCTGTACATGCCAACAGTGTTGTTACACCACAGAGAAGTTTTACTACTTGTGTTGGGCAGCTCTGCACACACTGGAGACACCTTGCTAGGTTTTATCAGATTTCCCCCTTCCCTCATCCCTCCGCCTGAGTAGGCAATGAGCAGTGACATTGCTCAAGACATCTTGTTCTTCCCCCGACACATGCATCTCAGACACTGCCAGGCAGACGGCAATTGTGACCCCTTATCTGCCCAACACATTTCAAGCCCCACTGCCAAGGGACATGTTTGGTTCCTGCCCCACTGGGAGGAAAGCTGCTGGGGCCTGGTGGCTGCTTGCATGCAGCAATGGTAGAAAAGATTCTCCTTTGCCAAATGCAAGATTTTCCTGAGTCTGATCAGCACTCTGCCCTGGTTTCCAGCAAGTTTTTGAAGTGAGTTGTACTGCTTTCTAGCTTTGCTTAAAAGACATTTCTATAAAAAGAGTGCTTGGCTGAGCAGCAAGCAGCACGCACGTGTAATTTGGGCAGCTGGCACCTCTCCCTCTGCGTGGTATGGAGCGGCTCCAGCCATTCACGCTTTGGCACTGCCTGTGCTCATGGCCCAGCAAACAGGAGGGGGCAGCTGTGGGGCAGGTGAGACAAACTCCACACAACCAAGAGCCTGGATTCTGCTACTCTTCGGAGCGAAAGCTCCATGAAGGTAAAACTGCGACCCTGCCTTTTCCTTTCTAAGGGGTCAAGTGCAAAAAAGCCAAGTGTCAGAGCAAGCTGGAAGGGTAGGTGAAGCCAAGTAGCACTTCTGTGCTACACAGTTTTCAAGATGTCTGTGCAAGCCCAACCAAGCGGCCCTGGGCAGACACACAGCCCAGCGACAGTCCAGCCAGGGCTCCTGGCGGCACAGCAGCCCGTCCTCACACTGTCCTCCCTCAGCATGACCAAGCCAGGCTGGAAATACCCCACTTCCCCTCCCCATGGCCTTTCAAGCTCAGGTGAACAAATACCTGCACAAACAGCTGAGGCAGCAAAGCTGAAGGGACTGTATGGAGCAGGCATGTGAAGTCAACACTATTCTCTTAAAGAAAAAACAACTAAACACACCACACAACGTGCTCGGCTACATCACTTCAGGCTACACTTTGAAATCCAGCTCTGAAGTTTAAATTGAATAAAGCGCATTTTTCTGGCAATAGAGCTTAAACACAAACTGCAGTTCTAGGCTCAGCTGAAGGTCTGCCTGGGTTTGAAAACATGTCTCTTATCGACAGGAGTGCTGTTAAAAATAGTAATCTGAAAGTTTCAGTTAAAGAGCAAAGTTCTACACAGAAGCACCCAGTGATTTTCCATCCACTAAGTGACATTTTAGAAAGCTTTACCCCCTTCTCACCACAGGGTGAGTGATGTGTACAATACTGGAAAGAACGCTTCTCTGAAGTCTGCTTGTGAAAATAAGTACTCTGCATTTTTAACCTGAGACATGCCATCTTCAGAGGAATCAAAGGTGGTCAGCACAGCTCCCAGCTCCAGCAAAGCAGGACTCCAGACTCTGCAAAGAACCCATGGCACAACAACGTGAGCATGAGACAACCTGCTGCTGCTTTCTTCCAGATGGTCCTTCAGTGCTTAGGTCTGCTCCTTCACCAGAAGTGCAACTTCCATGAAGACCCATTTCTGAATCTCCCCAACACACTTAGGAATTCACATTATTCAATCTTATTAAGAAAATCCTTGCAACTGGCTGGCAACAGCAAACTGAACAACTGCCACAAAAACTTGAATGCATTCAAGCTCTTGCTTAGTGCAAGCAAGAACAGGCACAAAACACTTCAATACCAGGGGAACAGCTGGTCAGTGTCCTCCACAACACAGGGGAAAAGATGCAAGTTCTAGCAACAGCTCAGGGATCTTGGAATCCAGGCTGACCTCACTCATCCATGTGGAAAATTCATCACCTCTGCATATCTATGTACATCTTCAAAGATATCTGCATCCCATAATATTTGAAATGTTAATCTTGAAACCTCTGAGAAAGGACTACATGTTCTTTGCTGTTATACAGATAGGGAACTGAAGCATGTGAATCTGCAAGCACTTCCTCCCACTGTGTCCAATGGCAAGACAAAAGGTGCTGATTCAGATCAAAGCCCAGCCAACGTGGGTAACAAAGCCGTAAGTCTGTCAAATCAAGCTCTGTACTTGCTAACCTGTAGGTGAATGTTAAACAAACCTGGCAGGGAGGTTGGAGTTTTGCTCATTAGGAGGAATATCTGCACAGCATTGCCTCTGTGAAAAAAGGATCACTGAAGATGAGGGGGAGGGGAGTGGAAGGGCTGTAGAAGAGGATGTGCGCAAAACCTGCCAGGGAACAGAGGGAAATTCAACCACAAGATGTAAAGCCATAGGCAAAATAAGCTGTTTGGACAGTTCTTTACCATGATCTGTAATAGGCACACTGCTACATCTCATTACCTCAAGTTCCTCTGGTTACCATGGGATTTGGCAGAAACATGCAAAGCTGACTGAAATCTTCTCTTCCAGCTACTTCACAGGCCATTAAGAGGTCCCCATAGTTTAAGTTATGCACTGAAAATGTGAACTAAGATTGTGCATTTCTTTCAGACAAAATGGGAGATGGAGAGAGATTCTAGATGAGAGACAGCAAGTAATTCTCTTGCTCTTATCTACCAGAGACTCCCTGATCCTGGGACACAGCCTTCCTGCTGGCAGCACTGCCGAGAGCTCCTGGAGCCAGAAGAAACAAGACAGAGCCTGATCTGGTGCTTTTCAACCAGCAAGTCTGGGTTTTGCCTCCACTGTTTTTCCTGAGAGGTCTACCTGACAACTGAATACCTGATTCAATCTTTTTTTTTTTTTTTTTTTTTTTTTTTCAAACCCTAGGGGCCCTCCATTCACCAGGTAATCTAAAAAACCGTTCTTCATGTATATACCTATGAGCAGACAAAGCCCTTCACTCAAGTCTGAAGATGTCTAGGCACCAATACAGTAATGTTTGAGAACACCTCATGAAATCAACACCTTGGCAGGCACCGATTCCCACTGAGGCCTTCTCCTTGTGGCAGCACATGCAGGGTGGCCATTCACACGGACAGCAGCACCAGGGAGCAGGGTTGATGCCGCTCCCCTACACCTGGGGGATTACTTTTTCCTCCTTCCCACTCCAACTCAGAAAAGGTGTACAACATTCTCCAGCAGTGCCACTACTCCTCCTGTGCTGACAAAGGCACAGCGAGGAAGTGCCCCCTGCCACGCCATTTCACATCAACCCTCCAGCTCTCACCAGGTAAAACAGCTCCAGCAGAGCTTTGGGAAACCTGCTGATGAACCACTGCTCACACTGAGCAGCCTCAGCTGACCAAAGCGCTTCGGTTCTAGCTGCATATTTAGACACGTTAAACTTTTAGCCCTCAGTTTCAAAGAGACATAGGGTACACTCACGAACCAGGGGTGCTTTCACGATCATTTACAGGCTCTAGAACACAGGCTGCCATTAAAGAGCAAGTGCCCTGTCTCATTTTATTTCAACTTCTTACCCTGGTGAGAAAATTCAGACACAATACAGGGCAGAAAGTTGGTCCTTAAGGTGTCCTCCTGCTGAATGTCTCATCTACATTTGCCTCCTTCAGGCAGTGATTCAAGTGAATCAATCAGAAAGCTTTTTTAAAAGCTCTCACGTACCTCTATACAACAAGCTAGTCAGCTACTCTTTAAAAAGACTTTTATTGAATATTTTGTTCCTTCTGAGATAGACAGAATCAGAAACAGCATTTGTTTTCCTCAACTTGCTGACACTGCAAAAGGGAAAAAGTACTTCATAGTCTTATGTAGTTGTTCTGTATTGTCCGTGCCGCATGGAGACTGTCAGAATAAGAACACTAAGAGCCACAGAACTTCTACAATTTGTTTCACACTTTATTGAAAGAGAAAGGCAACTCGTGTTTGGTTTTTCCTCCGCTTGAACAAATCTGTTTAAACCACTGCTTTAAATGCTTCCAGTATTCAGTAGCATTGAGGAGGGTGGGTATCCACACCTCTCAGTGTAGGGAACGTTAATAACCCTACAACCTATGACACGATATTATTACATGTGCTGCTTTGTTTTACATACCCAGAACTAAGACATATGAATATCTAAGTACACCTATAGATCATACCTGTGGGAGATAAAGTTCAGAGCCTACTGGAGCTTTCCAAGCTTTTCAGTTTCTCAATGTGCTTCCAAAGAAAGCTGCCCTCCCTCCGCAGCTCTGGGCAGCACCTCCTCACAACACCCTACCAGCACAACTCAGCCCTGCCCAGAGGCACTGTGGGAAGTGCAGGGCTTGGGCTAAGGGCTGAACCCGCTTACATAGCCAGCTGCCAAGTGACAGTGAATCAGTACACCTTGTACCTGCTGTAACCACGCAGAGCTGGCCTGTATGGGACTCCAACCGCAGGCACAGGCTCCTGACCAGACCTGCAACACAATATCCCTCACCAGAAGGCTTTTCTGCTCCTCAGACACAGCAGCACAAACATACTGACATCTAAACACTTGAAGTGCGCTGCCCTCCTTTCACAGCCCAAAGCTGCTGTTCCTCTAGCAATGGGATCTAGCCTGGCTATATAGACAGCATGCTTGATTCACAGCATGCACTGCATGGGTGTATCGCATCTGAATGCCACAACCCACCAACAAGACAACTATGCCCTCTCCCACTGACACACCACTGCACTGTTACTATCTGTTATGCCTACAAAGCACCTTCTACATCTCACGTTCTTCCCTCTACAAAGGCTGAATCAATCAGTAGATACAGGCTTGTTTCAGTAGTGCCTGCTTCCGTTGCAGCAGATGAAGTATTTAAGATTGATGAGACACTTCCCAAGCTTATGTGCAGGAATCACAGTAGTGTTTACAAACAAACTAACGCTGGCTCCAAAGGGTGTCTCTTTTCTCTATTGATAGACCGCTCGTACTCAGAAAGATGCATCAGCAGGAATCTGACAGCCAAATAATGCAACAGCCACAAATGCAGGAATTGGAGCTTATTTCAAAACCACCAAGGTGACCTGCTTGACATAGTGCACATATTTCTTTGGCACAACCCACGCCTTTGAAACTCAACTGAGCAACTGGTTCTGTGATGACAGATGGTTGGAGATCGCGGGTCTGGTTTCTCATGAATCAGAAGTTTATAAATTTCAGAATACAGATTCTACCCCTTGAGCATGAACGAGAAGTTCCTGCAAAATCATCCACCCAGATGCAGGCACTTGCACATCAAAACCACTGTGCTTCTGCATACTTTAGAACTAAAATAAAGGAATGCAGCTGTGACTTATTTCAAAGGAGGTACTGGACTGGGACATTGATACACTGGACAAACTTTTATCTGATGTGCTGAGAACACAATCTATCATTCTTTATCCCTGAAAGAGAAGGCATTGTCACCTTTGTGTTTTTAGAAATGATAGCTATTACACTGACTAGGGCTACTCACTGAACTGAGTGGATACGAGACAAGGTAGTTCATAATGCTTACGTGGAGTGGGCTGAGCACGGACAACAGGATAAATCTATACAGCTTGAAGAGGCTATAAAGAGATTGCTGATTTAGAAACATGGAGCAGAAAGACCAAAGCAGTTTAGGCCAAGTCTGGTCAGCTGCCCCAAAACTCATACCATCCCAGAGCCTACGCATTAACCCAAGTTAATTTTCTGTTTTATTCAGATATGAATCATCTGGATTCAGGAAAGATTTGGAACCAAAACTATCTTAATAGACTCTCCTATGATCAGCAGATTGAGATAAGATATCCATTCAGCACACCTCCTCCCTCCAGGCCATTCAAAACAGTCAATCAACCAAACAGTACTTTTGGTCCTGGGAAACTCTCAGCAAAGAGCAATAGAGAAGCTGCACAGCTTCTGCATGGACAGCTCTGGTAAGCCCCACAAGAAGCAGTGCTTTCACCCACTTCATTCATTACCTACACACAGCCAGCAAGGGAGGTGGGAAGTGAAGTTCTGCTACGGCCATCTGCAAAACAGCTGCATGAGCCTTCTCAAAGCCTGTGTTTTTGTCTACTCCCGTGTAGACACGTGCCAGTGGCTGTGTGCTGATGCACTCAGGAACTGGGTCCTAAGAATACTGACAGACGCTATCATTCATTAATTTTATTATGAACACTTAAATGCCCTCCTTATGATGGTGAAATTGAGGTTTTGTAGAACAAAATTTTCCCAGCTGCCAAACACACTACTTATCAGTGCTCTTCTGCCTGACCCTTCCACCCCAGTCTCCAAACAGTAGTCAAGAACAAAGTGATGGACTCATTTCCAAAACGCTGAGGCGATCACAAAAGCTGAAAACACTGCTATGTGACACCCGCTCACACGGCAGCAACAAGGCAGGAGACACAACTCTCAATGCAGCAGGGAACTGGAGAACCAGCGTCAGGTTTCAGGACACCCAGACAAAGCACCAGGAATGCCTATTAATCCCAGCCCAGCAGCCCCAGAGGCAGGAGCCCCGCACCAACACCAGGAACACACAGCCACTAGGGAAACCATCCTGCTGCTGCGCTGCTCACTGACTGCGCAAAGCAGCCTGAAGCCAGCCAGTAATTGAAAAACAGATACTCCCTCCAAAGATTATTGCTATTTCTATTCCTATCTGCCACCCTCCAGAAGCAAAACCCCTCCCCTCAGCAATTCCTGTTTCTTCACACACAGGCCTTCCACCAGGAGCTATTTCACCATCCTGCTGAAGGATGGCTCCTGGTTGTGCAACACAAGGACTACAAATCCCAGTGAGGTACAACCCAGCCTCCCTGCACGCCACACAGGGAGAAAATGGTCTCTTGTTTCAACCTTTATCAGCATTTGCTGCAGCCCAGCTCTCGCTGCCTCTCACTCCCCTCCTGCACAGACACACACCTCTCGAGGCAGATGTGCGGTGCTATGCTACCCACACAGACAAGGTGTTCTGCAGACAGCCTGCAGGGCTGAAGTAGGAGACAGAACTCCTGGAGCTTCAGGGCTGTTTCCTGCAGCATGATATGTGGTGTCATCACCACGTCCCAGTTTGTGTGTGCAGAGATGCTCAGTCCCTGCATCCCCTAGTGATGCATCCCCATCCAATCACAATGCCTAGCACATCAACTGAAGGGGGAAGAAAGAAAAAGGAAGGAGGGGAAAGAAAAAACACACCCTGTGACCTAAATAAAATATATTATTAATATTATTGAGGAAGGGAAGAGTGTCACTGAACGTTTTCATATAATGTTAACTATTCTGGCTAACGCTGAAAGTTATCCATCTCAAAGTCATTTTGCAGACTGTGAATAAAAAGTAAAAAAACCTAACACCCTACGAGTTTACAAGCCCTAGCATGTAACTGCAGTACCACCTTGTTCACAGCACCTCAAATAGGAGCAGCCCTTCATGAAAACATTCAATAACTGAAGGTTTGACCTCAGATTTGTATCAGAAACCTATCTGCAGCCACCAGCCCAGTAACAGCCACCACTACCAGACCACACCAGTGAGATCGCCCTGGGAGACAAAGGGTGCTCTGAGCAGCAACTGTGGCAGGTCAGGGGGAGCTGCAGGACTCCCCACTACAGCCAGTGAAGCACGGGCACATCAGACAGCTGCAGTCCCACACCACTCCAGTACATCTGCTCCATTCTGATCTCTGCCCTTCTCTCTTTTCTTCCCCCATTTTTTAGGGCTGCCCGAGATCTCTTTTGTCACTTTTGCTACGCAGCAAATAAGAACCTTCTTTCTTCTTTCTCAAAAGTGCTACTGAAAGAAAAAACAACAACACTCAGGTGAGTCTTCCAGAAATAAGATGCCAATACCAGTGTGCGCTATTCACAGCTGTGGTAGTGGCAGCAGTGATGCTTCATTATATTTACCACATGGAAGAGAGACTGCACTAATAGCTCCGACTCCCCTGCCACCGCGCTGAGTAATGTCTGAGCCTACAGCTACAGGGTGCCAGGCACCGCTGAGGCTGGCTGACAAACTCACAGCCAGCAACTCAAGTCACCAAAACCTGAAAGTCTGCAGCATGCCTCAAACAGCAGGACACAAAGGCCATGACCTAACCCAGCATTTTCAGCTGACAAACTCACGTAGCTTAAGCCAATTTGTGCGTTCTTCCCCATCTGCGTAAGGCTTACCGCCTTCCTGCGACACAGCAGTGTGAACCCTGAAACCTGACCGCGTTCCCTGTTGCTTCTCTGTCGGTTTTCATGAGGGCGCACGGGCTGGAGAGCAGCGCCGGGCACCCACGCAGCGGGGGAAGCGAGGGCACTGCAGACCCGCTATCCAGGCCAGCAGGCACCCCTTGCCTCTCCTACGGCCACGCGGTGCTACCCAACAGAACCACTGCCCTCTTCCCGGGAGCCAGCCCCAAATCAGCACGTTCCCTCCCTGCACACCAGCACGCACCGGCAGGCAGGCAGGCAGGCACAGACCGCGCTCGGCACTCCTATTTTCCAGCCTAGGTTCACCGTAAGTCCGCAGCGGAGCAGCCCATATTTCACAGCCGCCGCGCGCACAGCGCTGACGACCCGACGAAGTCACGAGCTCCGAGAGAGGAGCCGAGAAGCGGCCATATCAGGGCACCGCCTCATCCCGGCCGCCCCGGGGCCGCCTCCCCCGGCCCGGCGCCCCGCTCCGCTCCCCGGACCCGCGGCCGCGCGGCAGCGGCCCGGCGCGGAGGCAGCCGGAGGGGTCCGGTGCGGCCTCCCCTCTACCCCCGCACACCTGGAGGAAAGCCGCTCCGCCGCCGCCCCTCCGCCTCCGCGCGCTGCCCCGCACCGGCTCGGCCCCAACACGGCCCCGGCGTGGCGCGGCGGGAGCGGACGCCGCGGCCGCCCCGGCGGCTCCGACACTCACCCTCTCGCTCGCGAGCTCGGTGCGAGCCGCCCGGAGGCGACGGGACCGCGGCCGGCCGAGGCGCTGCGGGAGAAGGAGGCGGCGGCGCGGAGCTCCGGCACCGGGCGCGTCGGTCGGGCAACGTGCGGCATCAGTCATCGGCGCGGGGCGGGCCGGCGGCGCGCGGCACTCTGGGGGCTGCAGTCCGCCGGCGCTTCCGGCCCCGCGGCGGGAGGCGGCGGCGGAGCCGGGCGGAGGACTACGGCTCCCAGGGAGCAGCTCCGCTCGGGCTCGGCCGGGGTGAGCGCCGCGCGACCGCGGTTTCGGGCAGCCCGGACAGAGCTCGTCCCCGTGCGGAGCTCCGGCCGGGGTTTCCGCGTTGCGCCGCTGCGCGGGTCCGTCCGGCACCCCGTGAGCGGGGCCCGCTGCTGGGAGGAGGCACGCGGGGTGACGGGCGGCGCTCCCCCGGCAGCTCCCATCCCGTCTCCTGCACCGGGCCGCCTGCTGCTGCCGCCCCTTCCGCGTGGGACTGCGGGAAGAAGCGCGGCGAGACGCGGCCGGAGCGAGGCTGGAAGCCCTGGAGAAGTCCGGCTCCGATTTGCGTCGCTCGGAAGAACCCGCGCCTTCCTGCGGCGCTGCCCTGGGCGCCCCTGCGCTTTGTCTTTCCCTGCGGCCTTTCCTCTGCTGCTGGCTGTTAATGCTTCACCCATAAAACCTGAACAAGCCGCGCCGCACGATCTGTTTAAACGCAGCCTGTGCGTGAGGATGCTTCATATTCCTGTGTGGAAGCATACGTGTGTTTCATCAGTCACAAAAGCTTGGCTCGAGAAAGACATGTCAGGAGGTTACAGATGGTGATCATTTTATGAAGCTGTCTCTGCCCTGCACTCTGACAGGTCACAGCAAAACACTGCATCTGAGCACAAGTTTATTATCTAAGTATGGTTTGCCTCGAACAGATTAGAGATGCATTTTGTGGTCCTTTCTTAAATATCTGACTCTATGGACATGTCCTGGCCAGTGTTACTTTGGGACAGCGCTGAGGTCTGAAAGTACGTGGCACATGGAAATGAAGTGCTGACGTGTTGGGGCAGACGGGGCTCTCACTTCCCTTTTGGCATGGTGACAGTTCAACTTGATGTGCAGGCACAGATCAGGCAGTTGTGTGAAGGATGGCCTGGACTTTTAACATAATCATAGCCAGGTAAAGGTGTAAGATGTGCATCCCTGCACTTCTGAAAAAATGCTATCCAGCATCTGTCATACAGGGAAGAGAACTTTGCTTTGGGCTTTTTAATCTATTCACAGATGTCAAACACCTTTTTTTTCCAGAGCTGTGGGTGAAGACCACTAGGAAGATGGAGCACTGTGCAGTACAACAGCATGTTGGTCACTGCTTTCAGGGACTGTGCCAGAAGGTTTCTTGGCATCCTGGGGACTCCCTGCCCCAAGCACTGCCATTTCCAGGTGCACCTTTTCCCCACTAACTGCGGCTGCTTGTTTCTGAGCCTCATTGTGATCTGGCCTCCTCCAGGGCTCAGCTTCACCACAAGCTTCCCCATCATGGGATCCTCCGCTCGGCTGCCAGGAGGCAGGAAGCAGTTACATCACTGCCTAGCATTGATTAAGCAGCATGTGACACAACTCAGCAACCTGAACCTTAAGCCACATACCTGTAATAAGTCCCTTACACAGCCAATCACATTTTATCCTCTCTCATTCTCATCTGTTTGACTTGAGCATGTACCAAGTATATGCTTAACCCTTTATCTGTAGTGCAGTGTGTTCGATTTCAGCTGTACATCTGAAGTGCTGGCATTTTTTCTGAGCTGTCCCTCCTGCCACAACACCACTCACGTTTTGAGCAAACACTGTGAGCCCTTGAATAGACTGCAGACATGTTCCCAAACTTCCCACTACTTCAGCTGCAAAGATCCGCTGATAACTTCTGGTTCAGAGCTGAGGATCACTGTCTTAGCCTGCAGAAAACACCTTGCCTGATCTGCTCTGGTTTGGCAATTCATCTGCTTGGGGGCATAGCATGAACCCTGGAAGCCTGCTTCTTCTCCAGTTCATGATGCTGCACCCTGATTGTGTCAACAGTATCAGCACTTTCACTGATAATTGCTTCAGGCTCTCCTTCCTCTGCTGGATCAGCAAGAGCTGAGGTAGCTGAACATGCCTTTACAAGGACCAAGCTAAGACGCAGGTCTCTGCGAATATGAAGCAATGCCATAGGAGTGCCTGTGCTGTTTCTGCCTGCTCTGTGGTATACAACATTTCTCATAGATGAAGGAGCACAGAGATGGGAAGACGTTTATGAGACAGAGGAGGCCTTGGTCCTGCTGCGGCCAGCAATCCCAGGGACCGGCAGGTGTGCTGGGGTGGTCTGAGGTGCCCTCATGCCAGAGCTCTGCAGTGAACCAGCTGGCACTGCTAACGGCTGAGAGCCGGAGCGTGCATGGCTGCAAATCGTGCTCTGGTCCATATTAGCCAAGATTTGTTGTAGTTGAATGCCCTGTTAATTTGCAATTACAAGGTGATCACTGGTGTCTGCTGACTGTCCTACTGTAACACATACGTTGGGGCTTTAAAAGTCTGCTTTTAATACTTAGTGTATCTTCTTTGAATGTCATTGTTGCCATGGGATTACTTGGAGGCCAGGTGTGGATGCCCATAGTTAAGAGAGTTTGGCAGCTGTTTCACAGATTTCTCAGTGTTTCAACTCTACTTTAAATACATATATATATATATTTTAAACTGAAACAGCCTCACTGAATCAGGCACAGCACAGTACATTTGAGGTAATTTTATGAATGTGTGGAGAGTCAGAAAGGCTCCTGCACATAGGTATTTTCAGAAAAAGTTCTTCACTACAACCATCCTGCTTCCCTATCCCTTCTCTCTCACCTTTCTCCCTCTCTTCTCCTCTCCTTAGGAACCAGTAGCAGTGAATATGGCATTAGCTGCAATTCTGTTCTCTTCTGTGTCCTCTGAACAGAGGACTATGAGACATTTGAATCAGCCCCAGGCTGCGGGCAGCACTGGGTGGGCATTTGTCTCTCCAGTTCATAACGGGCTCTCAAGAACTTGCAGTAACAAAGGATTCACACAAAACAGTCCTGCTGTTAAAAATCCTTAGCACCAGGAAGTCGTTCAGGCACCCAGCGCCAGGACGGAGGCACAGTATCCCTGCACTCCTTGCTGCAGGTATGAAGGCCAACCTGCCCCATGCTTTTGCAGCATCCCTACCTGTTCAAACATCCTCATGCCTTAAGACTCACCAGCCAACAGAAACCAAATTAACATTTACCTCCGGAGTCACGACCTCTGGTCAGCAGCGGCGCGCTGGACCGGGCTGCGTGGCACGGCTAGGGTTCAGCACACAAAAGTGGCTGCGCTGCTCCATGTCTCTCCCGTCACCCGCGGTGGCTCCGTTATCCCCGGGCGGGGACCGGGTGCTGACGGGCTGGCGGGGCTGTGGCGCCCTCTGGCGGTCCTCTAGCGTCAGCGCTCCTCCGACTGCGCAGCGGCCCCGGTTCCCCTCGCTCCTTCCGCAGCCGCACTTCTGTTATCGCTCAGAACGAGCGTCCTAAGGCCAGCTCTGAGATACTTCATTCGCTGAGCTCAGCCGTATGGAGTGTATTTATGTTTCTCCAAAACAGGGGGCATCATCTGCACTGCAGGCAGTCTGCTGACAGGGAGATCAAAGAGCACTTTGCTGCTGGGAGAGATGCAGCCTGTTCATTCTTCACACAGAGGCTGGGGCAGGCAGACATTGCTGATAACCACATCAGAAGGTTGCCAGCCAGGCTCAGAGGGCAGCATGCTATCAGTGCACCAGTTTCTGAGGGCCATGACCCCCAGCAGTGCTGTCATACTCTCCGATTTGCTCCTTCAGCATAGCACTGGAGGCCGTGAAATGCTGCACGTGCCTAGTATTGCTCTGATAAAGCTGAACTGGGAAATTGCATGAGCCACACTGCACAGTGGATTAGCTCAGCCTCTTCTGAGCTTCACAATTTAACCTTAACTCATTTACTGTGCTTGGGGCCAATCCATCACTCACGGCCCTGTGAAGCGACACTGGAGGAAGCCGATGGCTGTAGGTAACCTGTTGGTACTCTAAGCCCAGGCCAACACAGGCAGGCATGCAGCCTGCTGGGTCCATATGGAACTGGATGGTGCTGATGGGACCAAGGCCTACAGCCCCCTTGTTCTTCCTCTGCTTCTTCCTCTTCCTCTCCCTCTTCCCACTGAATTAACAGCAGACTGGTGCAGCATAGAGTAAGCTTGGGTAAGAGATGCTGATAGCTGTGTCAGCACAGGGCTGTGTTCCAGATCGTTTGTGTGGGAGGCACACGGAGCGAGCAGCGTTGGGCTGATATGACTGCCAGGCAGACATGAGAGCAACACTGGGCTTCCCTTCTCCAGGGACTGATGCCACAGCCCAGGAGGTAAACCAGGGTTTCTGCTGCTTCACAGGGAAGGGGGAGAAAGCAGCAAACCAGGGACGTGCCCAGTGAGGGAGCCTAGGGTGGCACCCGTGAATGTTTCTGCTCACCAGACATAACCAGCAGTCCTATATTAGATCACATCAGAACATCTTCCAAAGTAGGCTTTGGAAGACAAAGAGAGACAATGGAGCCATTATGGACGGTCTTGTTCCTACACACAAACAATTAATCCACGCAGGGCTGTTTTCAAATAATAACAGTCTGGATTAGAGCCACAGAGCAGAAAAGTCTGGGCTAAAGCCAACTTGCAATCCTTAGCACACACTATTCTGCCTCAGATTTGAAAGCCATAGGACCTTATGAGAACCTTTTGGTGTAATCACACACTATATACATAAATGAGTTAAAGATAAATGCAGAGTTATGAATTGCTAAAAATCCCTGCTCATGTCAATGTGAGATATGTGTACAAGGATTAAAAGGATGGGTCCAGAACTTTAATTTAAGGTTGTATTGAAAAGATGCAGCAACGGGGCTTTTCTGTTAAATTACTTTCTCCTCATGAGTGCACTGTTAGCTTTGCAATATGCATAAAGACCAACAGCTTGTCCTGCAACAAATTGAGCTGGGGAGTGAAAGAGCAGGGTGCTGCCTGCTCTCCCTTCCCCCCAGGGGAATGTTCAAAGCAAACAGTAATTTAATTTG